ATTGTTAGTTTGCGTGGGAGTGTTTTGATTCTTGAGAATTTTGTGTTTAAAGCCATTGTTTACGTTTGGTTGTTCCGCCTTTTCAATTGTTGGTCTAGATTTTTTTTAATTTCATGGATTTGAACCGCTAAAGTACGCTTGATTTTTGTTTTGATGGCATCCAGTAGCAAGGTAAACCGGTGTAACTATTCAATTTTGTCCTGTGTATGGTTCGACTGATTTTTATTTTCCAGTGTGATTGGCCGAAAAATGCCGTAATGGCTTTGATCATGGCATGGTCAACAAAACAGTGTTTATATAAAACGAAGCTTTTATAATATAAGAATAATCATGCCGGACAGCAGGTCTAAGAGCCTACTATGATTTTTTTTAGAGCTTCAGGATCTTGAGAACAGAACTGCAAAACTTCAGAACATTTTAGATCTTCAGATTAATGTTCAAAGAAATTTTCAAAACTTCAAGCAAGGTAAAATATTTTCAGATCAATTTGTAAAACTATAAGGATAATTTCGCAAATCTTCAGGGAAATTCACAAAACTTCAGACAAGTCCAAGAATCTACAGTGAATGTAAAGAATTTCACAGAAGTTTGAAGATCTACTGAAAAATTATTGAACATCAGAAAAGTTCGAAGATCTTCAGAAAAAATACAGAACTTCTGAAAAAATCACAAGAATGGTCAAAAAAGTGTGCTGATTTTCTGAAACATTTTTAGAATCTCAGAAATGTTAATGGATCTTCAGTGAAATTTGCAGAACTTCTGGGAAGTTCGGCGATTTAAAAAAGAATATTTATACGATTTCTGTTTGTATGACCTCAAGGAAGCTCAAATATTTTCAGATAAATTTTGAGAACTTTAGGTAATTCAGAAGATCTTCAGTGAAATGTTCAGATCTTCAGGAAAGCCCGAGAGCTTACAGAGGCATTCACAAAACGAGAGAAGTTTGCAGATCTACTAAGACATTTAGTAGTATCTATAGAATAGAACTATGGAGGTTCAGGCAACTTTATAGAATTTTAAAGATATTTGCAGAACTTCAAAAGAGTAGATATTAAGAGAAATCTGCAGAAATACAAGGAATTTTGCAGATCTTCAGAGACATTCAGAGGTTCAGAAAAATGTGAGATCTTCAGAAAAATTCGTAAAATTTCAGAAAAGTACTTCAATTACAAAACCAAATCTCAGTGAAGTACGAGAGTCCAAGATTCTGCAGAACTCCATGGAAGTTGGAAGTGGATAGATCTGAAGAACTTCAGAGAAGTCCGTAGACTAAGGCCTGCAGAACTTCACGAAGTTGGTGCATTTTTAGAAAAAAATGCAAAACTTTAGCAAAACTTACAGAACTTTTAGAAAGTTTGCCGATCTATTGAAGTATTTACACAACTTCAGAGAAATTCGTATTCAGCGAAGTTCAAATATTTTTCAGATAATTTGTAAAGCTTTGGGAAATTGCAAAGAATTTCGGATAAATCTGCGGAACTTTATGCAAGTCCAAGAATCCACAACGAAATTTACCAAACTTTTAGAAAAGTTCGGAGATCTACTGAGAAAACTTCAGGGCAGAAATACAGTACTTCATAAAACTTTAAGGAAAGGAATTTGAGAAATGTTCAGAGAGTAGATCGTAAATCTACTGAAAAATCTGCAGATGTTTAATTAAATTTGTTAAATTTTATTGAGGTTCTTGAATTTTAAGATAAATTTACAGAACTTCAGGGAAGTTCGCTGATCTTTAGAGATATTTGAACAACTTCAGAAAAATAGTAGATCTTCCAGGAAGCTCAACATTTCTAGATTAATTTTTAGTACTTTAGGGAATTGTGTAGATGTTCAGAGATATTTGCAGATATTCATTGAATCATGAAAATCTACAGAGAAAATTACAAAACTTTCGAGAAGTTCGCAGATTATTAGAAATTTAGTGAACATCAGAGATAATTGTTGACTTTAAGGATCTTAAATCTGCAGGGATTTAGGAACTTTGTAGTTTTGTAGAACTTCTGAAGAACACACAGAACTACCGAGAAATTTGCAGATCTTCAGGAAAGTTTGTTGATCTCTAAAGATATTTTACCAGAGAACAGAAAAAATCAGGGAAGTCCGAAGGTCTTCAGAGAAATATGCAGAATTGAGTTCTTAATAGAATTATTATTATTTAGCTTTATTTAGGAGGCTTTCAGCCTTAGGCTGGTTCGCCTCCAAATTCTTAATAGAAATTTTCCGAACTCAAAGAATCATTTAGATCTATGGAGAACTTTTCCCACTAGCTTGTCGAAAGTTGGAATCGACAACTGGCGAATTTTTGAAATCTGTTTTTCGTCACCAAATCGCAGTTCTTGTTCCTCCTGAGCAACCATTTCCTACTCCACAAAGTTCACCTTCTCCTTCTCATTTTATTTAAAATATTATCGTTTCATTTGAAAACCGGAAAATCCCACACGCGCTAATTGAATTTACTCTCGTTCTGTATGTTAAACATAACGTCGGACATAGTGCGCTGTATTCGCACAATGATGCGCTATTCAGCGCACTATGTCCGACGTTATGTTTAACGTACAGAACGAGGGTAAAATCGAATGTCGCGTGTGGGTTTTCCGGTGTCCAACTTGAACGACAATATACCCGACGATGCTAGAGAAATTTTTCGTTAATTCATTGTGGAAGTATTTGCTTTTGATTCCTGATACAGTTTTGTTTTGAAATTTAAATTGACAGTTCTTTCGACGTGTGAAGGCAGTGTGACAAAGTGTATTGAAAGTAAAATCGAGCAGATTTTTCATTATGGCGGCGATCAAAATCAGACCAAGAAATCAGATAGTCTAAACGGACCTTTAGCAGGCACTGAACTACTACCAGCAACGGCGGAACGATTCGTTGGTCTGACGAGTTTCGAATAAAGCCCTACAGTAAAAGTATGGACGACTGTCACCACAAAACAGAAAAAAGCTGTTCCAATCGAGCAAAGCGGTGCATTTTGACGGTTCGGTTGGAACAACTTTTGACAGACGTCCATACTTTTACTGTAGTTAAGCCCTAAGCCCTTTCGAAGATTTGCAATTAGGTAGGATAAACGATCCAATAGTTGCGGTACGTTAGAAGCGTTAGGTTCCTATCGTTGTGTATTGAGCCTCCAAACGCTTCTAACGTACCGCAGCTATGAAGGCGCTTCCCCTACTGCAGCGTGACATCACAAATGACATTTCGAAAGTTACTTTCAATGTTCGAAAATCCCGGTGTTATCGATCGATCGGTTTTCAAACAGAACTCAGCGACGGTTGTCAAAATTTAACTTCTAGTCTGTCAGAAATAACAACGCTCGGATAGCAGAGTTATTCGATAACTTTCCATCTGTCACTTTTAACCACGAGTTAAATTTAACAAGCCAATTGGGACATAGCCTTAGCGACATTTCGAAAGTTATTTTCTATATTCGAAGAACTCAGCCACAGTTTTCAAAATGTAACTTCTTGTCTGTCAGAAGTAACCACGCTCGGATAGCAGGGTTAATCGATAACTTTCCATCTGTCACTTTTAACCACGAGTTAAATTTATCAAGATTGGGACATAGCCTTAATTGTTTTCTTAGTGTTATTCTAGGTGAAGGAAAAGCTTTGTTTTACCAGCAAACAAATCTCTCAATAAACGTCAAATGAGTTCACAGTGCACATATTAATGACAAAAAAATAATGTTTGGTTTGAAAAAAATAACGCTTTTGCAGAAGAAGAAACTATAACTACACGATACAGTCACAGTCACAGAACGCATAGCGTGCGTTTGTTTCCATCGGCATGAGTAGCTTCACTATAAAGTTTTAAGATTCATACCATAATTTTGATCAATTTAAAAATGAAAACAGTTTAATAACTTCACTTCAAATAAGCTTGTTCCTTTGTTCTTTTGTATTGATTTTTCCATATGACCTACTTAGACACTGATTGGAAGCATCGCATGTTTTCCAGAAAATATTTCGGTAAATAAAACACACCGACTTTGTAGAAACTGCACACTAATCCTCCATTTAGTTGCCCAGTTGGTTTTTTGATTTGCGGAATCTGTTCGGTAGGAAAATGACTCAACGAAAAATTTCAATTTGGATGATTTCTTTGCCAGCAAAAAATACTCGAAATTTAACAACTTTTCCTGCGGTTCAAAACCTAAACAGTTATTTAATCAAAGTGTGTTTGCTTCCATTCTGTACAAAGCAAAAAAAGCATGGCTTACCCATTCGAACACATTTCACACATGCCTCGTGTTGCGGCAAAACTTTCCGACAACCGTTTCCCACACAATACATTTGGCCAACTGCGATCAAAATTTTCCACAGGTTGTTGCCGTCTCCCTTCTTCCCATAGCTAAGAAGAAAGTAGGCGACGACAACAAAGCAAACTGAAATAAAAAAAAAGTAAACCTGCACGTGTTTGTTACACTCGCGTCTTATTGGAATGACATTATTGGCACTAGGCACTAACTGTAAGAACGAATCGCTTTAGATTTGAAGTTTGAAACGTACTCGCTTTGCTTCTAGCGCGTTAATTCATTACCGATCTAAATTTTACAATAGAAATCCCCGATTGAAAAAAAAAACATTCAGAGAAAAGAGTTTGCTTTTCTATTGTTTTCCTCTTTTTTCTCTCTTTCTTTTTTCTTTCCAAAAACAAAAACCAAACAAACAAGAAATCACATCTCCACCCGCAGGAAGCATATAAGCAAACAAACAATTCCGACTCTGTCAATAGTAGTTGTCGTCATCATTTGTGCTCTTGTTTCTCGAATATCCTAGCTTGCTATTATAGTCATGTAATTCTAGCCCTCCAGTTCCAGTGGAGAACGAGAACCCATTTGATTAATATTAACGGATTGCTTTTTTTCTCTCTCTCTTTCTCTTTTATCCTTTTGTTTTATTTATTTTTTGTTTTTGCTCTTTTCCGCGCGCTCTTGTTTCGTACGAATCTTCTACCCGCGCCTCTGTTCCACTATTTTCCCGTTTCCGTTTTTTTAGTTACGTAAACAAAGTCAGTTTAACGCTAGAAAGAAGTTTCAGTTCGCTATACTATGTATTAGAGCAGTGGTTAGAATAAGGAGGCTACGGTACACTCCGGAACCGCTGCGGGCCGAGGACGCGCTCAGAGATCCCTATCGCATCAAGGTGCTGCGAAAGGTGAGTACTGTTTTGGTGGTTGTTTTAGATTTGACATGTTTATTCTAGAGTGCCTGTAGAGAGCGGGAGAGAGAGTGATGACTTCTCATCCAATGGACAGGTATCTGCTCGATTGGAATGAGTTTTTCCAATGAGTGACGTGTGCTCACTCTACACTCTAAAGGCACTCTAGTTTATCGTACATACGGAAAGAAAGGGCAACCGAATAGACTGGAAATGTACAGCAAGACGGTCATTTATTTTAGAAGAATAACACTTTTCGTTAGAATCATCGTCACAAAACACTACATCGACATATTGTAAAATTATATAAAATCTATCTGTTGGAAAAACAGTACGTTTCCGCAGCACTGTAATACACTTTATGTTAAATTTACGTGACACAAGTACAGTCTACGTGATACCCCATATGTATGAACGGGAAGTCCCTTTATATTCACTAGGTTTTTTTTTTAATGGAACGCACGTGATTTGCACATACACAAATGTGCATTTCACGTAAACCCTAAATGATTTTCACATACGAAAAAATAATCACTCATAATGGTACATGTGGAACCCTCAGGGAACGTCTCCGATTCTCGTGTTCCGGAATAATCCTGGAATTGATGGACACCTTGTACTCCGTTCTCTTCGTGTTTATTTGTTCTCTCTCGATCCCCGATTCAGCACTTACCATAGTCCATGTAGTATTGGTTGACCTGTCTGGGCTCCTTTTGTAAGGTAGTGCATTTCTGCAACCGTTGTCTTGGCACACGGCACCACATCTGGTTTTCTCTAGGAGATGGGAAATCTAATCAACCATGACAAAGTCCTTAAACTTTGATGGGAGTTTTACTTCTCGACGCGTTCTAGAATTTTCAGAAGTCATTAGTGATTTTTCCGGAGATTTGGCAACGATCGGGGAAGGTCCTTGAACGGTAAGTTCTGGGTGACCAGATCCGCTATCTGGTGTTTCATCATCTGACAGCCTTCTTCCGTCAATTACACGCTTGACGTCTCTGATCCTCCTTCTCTGTCCCTACTTGTTTTGAAATTCGATCTCTATCCGTTACTTCGTTGGTCGGTGCAGCTGATTCGATATCGTACAGTGATGGGATCTTTGAACGGACTTTTTATTATTTTTTAAATCATCATGTAATCAATTAAATCAGTCTGCCAGTTTCGGCTTAGCGCGTGACTCATTTGAAGCCGTTTTGGTTCTGGCGTTCTACCAGGCCGTTCTCTTGCGGTCAGTATGGCGTAGAATGGTTTAGTGAGATTCCATGCTCCTGACAGTAATTTTCAAATTTCGCGCTTACAGAAGATCTTATGCAATCGGGATATGGTTTCATCAGCCGTTATATGCCGATGTAGAGATAATTACTTCCTTATATCGACTATAATAATCGACTATACCCATCAGATTTTCACCAGTAGGAAGTGGTCCCATGAAAAGGTGGTGAGGGCATTTTCCTGCGTTGCATCGGCTCTGGTTTATTTGGTAGTCCAACAAGTCTGCATCCTTCACATGAGGTAACACATTTTTCGGCTTCACGGTCCATAGTAGGCAACCAAACGCGATCTCTGAGACGACGCTTCATCACCGTTTCCCCTGGGTGACCTTCATGTGGCAGGGTAAGCATTCTGTTTCGTAGCGATTTCGGAGCTACAAATTTCGATCCTCGGACCAAGAGATCACCGACAAAACCCAGTTCATCTTGGAAAACTTCATACGGCTTAGCTTCTGGTCTTCCCCACTGTCCACTGCGTACACATTCATGCACTACGGCAAGTTCAGTATCTTCTTTGGACGCCTTTTCCAGTTCACATGTTTCAATAGCTGCAGACTCCATTATAGCGAGAACTAGAAACTGGCTATCGTCATCAAAATCATCATCCTTACTATGTTCGCAAGGCCGTGAAAAGGAATCGGCTATATTGTTGCAACCTTTACGATACTTGACTTCGAAAGTAAAGCCTTGCAGCCGTAAAACCCAAGGGGTAGGTCACTCCGCACACCAATCTTGGGTCTTTTTTTTCAGTGTGCCGCAACTGTGCCGCAGGTGTGCCGATTTTTCCGGTCATAGAGCAAGCTGCGTAATTGTAAAATGCACAACCCAGCAACCCGATATTTCTGACACCTTGAATGTTTTGATTTTAAATCCCTAGGATAAATCGGTCTATCGGCATTTTGGATTTAAATCTATAAGTGAGTTTCTCTGGTATATTTAAATAAATGATGCTCCTGAATATACAGCCAAACAGCTCGTAATATTATGAACAATTTCAGTGGCAGTTTTCCAGCAGTGATCTCATCTAATTTACAACAATGCAATGCCTACGAGCTTGTGCCGAAGGTGTGCCGATGGATGTTCCCAAGCTACCGAATCTAATTTCGGCACAATGTGCTAGGTGACGTACCCCTTGGTAAAATCCATCATTCGATTCTTGCGCATGGTCGTGATGTGGGTGCAAAGATGGTTTCGAGCGGTTTGTGGTCCGTCTCTAGTTCGAACTTCCTGCCAAGCAAGTATGTTGAAAATCGTTCGACCGCCCAGACTAGTGCCAGTGCCTCCTTCTCCGCCTGACAGTATCTGCGCTCTGTCGGACTTAGACTTTTATTCGCATATCAGATTATGCGCCGGTCTGTATCATGATGATATGATGAATGTTTCCAAATTAGACTAACACTGCTCCAAGACCAACCGGAGATATGTCTGCTATTACTCGTGTTTGTAGGGAGTTGTCAAAATTTTGTAGTGTCGTAGCTTTTAATACCATGTCCTTAAGTTTCCGAAATGCATTTTCATGCTCATACGTCCATTGAAAAAGTGTTCCTTTATGTGTTAGCAACCAGAGAGGCGCGCATACGGTTGCTAAGTCAGGAAGGAATTTTCCAACGTACGTCACCAAACCTAAAAAAACTCCTTAGCTCTCCAGCAGATCTCGGAGCTCGGAATGAATCGATTGGTGTCGTCTTTTATTCTGCTGGCTGAATTCCTTTGGCTGACATATTGTGTCCTAGAATAACATTGAGTCAAATTATGACTTGCAAATAAGTTCTACCAATTAACTAACTAACCGAGGAAAAAAACTTCTTTCACTTTGAATTCGCATTTTTGGTGGTTCAACAGCACCGCCTCTTGAATTCAGAGCCTCCATCACTTGTTCGAGTGCTCGATCATGATCCTCTTCATCATCGCCGAACTCTAGAATATCGTCAATATAAACAACTATGTTCTTACATTTCGAGAGGATTTGTTCCAGCATTTTCTGGAACATCTCAGGGGCGCAGGCCACCCCAAACATAAGGCGCTTGTACCTGAATACTCCAACGTGGCTGATAAATGTGGTGATATGCCGACAAGATTCGTGAAGCTCCACTTGATGGAATGCTTCTTTTATGTCCAAACGTGTAAACAATCGTGCCTTCATCAACCGTGGCAGAAAATCTTCGAACGATGGCATGAGATGTCCTTCTCTTTTGATCGCTAGATCTGCCCTTCGCATATCGACACACAGGCACAAATCCCCGTTGTCCTTGACAATTGCAATTAGTGGTGATACCCACTGGCTGTACTCTTCGACAGGCTCAATGATATCAGCGTTCAGCAACGAGTCCAACTTCGCTTTTATTTTGTCCAAAAGTGACTTGTTCGTCGATTGGAATTTCTAGCTTGATGCGCTTCATCTTTGGGAATAGATGCTTTCGTTCAGCGCGCAGTGTGTACACCTCTGGTGAGTTGGTACTAGGCAAACCCAACGTCAGTACCCCCAGGTCCTTGGCAGTGGTCCTTCCTAAGAGAGGTTGAGTGCCACCTTCAATAACATAGAACGTGGCGTCACTAGAGATACGCTTCTCGTGGTCCTGAACTTCAATTTTAGCTTCGAAAACTTCTTTGACAATCAGTGGCCTGGAAGACCGTCCGTACGCTGTGAAGCTTTGATCTGAATGTGTTCGTCGATTATTAACTTCAATAGCATGACGTTTCATTCTGTCCAAAGACACATCATCGACAACGTTCTTCTGACATCCCGAATCAATAATGGTAGAATTGCAAGTTGCATGTTTACATGCCATTTAAAATCATGGGGCTTACTTTCGTGAGACAATTTCGTGTTGTAATTATAATGGCTGAATATTATAATCACAGACAAATTGCACGGTGAGAATAATTTGTAACATGTTCCTTTGTTTTAGTCTGACGACAAGGAGTACCGTGGATGCAAGTTAAATGCCCTGGTATCATATGTGTCCCCATATCCTTTCCGAGTTCTTCTCACAATGGTCAAAAAATACTGCAGGATCTTCATAATCCCGTGACCCTCTCGCTCACTGAAATGAGTGCTTTCATATAAGAATCACTTGTGCCATGGAAAAAAAATCTATGTATGTTTTCACGTAGCATTGACGTGAAAATTATTTTGAGTGTAGAACTGTCACTGGCAGAGATGCCAGGTTTATTTGGAAAACATCTTGCGAAACCCGAAAGAAAAGCTTGGCCACAGATTGGCACAACAAAATAACATACGGCATCTACCAGATTTCTCAAAAAGTCTGTCTGCCAAAGCTAAAATTTCTCTGGCTCTGGCCATATAAATCTGGCAACGCTGGTGTGGCACAGGGTAAGAAAAAAGTACCCAACGGCCAGTTCACTTTTACCTACTTTTGACTTGTTTGTCTCCTTTTCTCCTTCTAATGTTGTCAAAAACGGAGGAGTAAAACAACCCAACAGGGGTAGTTAAGTGAGGGAACCCAACGTTGAGTAAAATCATATTTACCTACTTTTGGGTACAACTAACTTATTTTTGGGTTGAAAGCGAGTGGAAAATTCCATACGAATTGCACACATAAATGAAAACTACTTTGACCCACTTTACCTAATGTTGGCTCCCTGCACTATAGTGCCGAGATGAGTTAAAAGAACTTACTTTTGGGTGCTGTTTTCTTACCGTGTGCGGTTGTTAAAATAGTTAAATAAACCCTGGATTTAGATAACACGGTAACTCGCATCAAC